ATGCTGGAAACAAGTTCATGTTGAATCATCGCCATCAGTAAAGATGTTTTTCTGGGTCAAAGATTGGGAGGTGTTTTTGATCAGGATAGTTTACTCCTTCCCTACCGCTGGGAAAAACAATTTGCTTCAGATTAAAGGTGCCTTCAGACCACATGGTGACTCTGGTAAACGCCCTGGATTCACTCGAATTCATATACAAACCGCGAGGTGAAGCGGCCAGCAGGGAATCCAATGCAGTGAGAGCGTTCACTGCTACTAGATAGAGATGAGGTGTTGCAGCACCTCATGGAGAGAATGGAGCCTTGATTGCTGAAGTTGAAACAAGTGTAACTGTTCTATGAATTCGCAACTCAGGAGCCCATTAGGGACTGGTTGTAGGCTACACCTTTTTTTCGCTTATACATCAAAATCCTGCACTATACCTGTAAGTTTCACCTTTGCTTTTTATGTGAAATGGCGACAGCGAGACCTTGACAGGAAATGACATGGGGTTGCCAAAGGTAACGGTAGGTCCAAAGCAGAGAGTCTGGAAGGCTGATGATTTACTAACTATTAAAAAATCATTTCAGCCACTAAATAAGGTAGACATGCCCACTGTCGTATTCACTTCCAGTACATGGGATGTTGTGCAATAACTATCAGGAAACTGGCGCAGCACTATTATCTGCTGGGATGGTGACGTCATCTAACCTGACTCCGCCAGATGGATTTGCTCCGCATATTCATCTAGAAACCTTCCGTTGAAGTAATTTTGGGAAGGGGCGAAAATACTGGTTAGCTTATTGGCCTATGTTGGTGATAGACGGGCCAAATAAACCAATCAGATCAACGAAGCATATGACGTACTAACAGAGCGACGACGAAAACACAACCACAAGCCAGGCTACTCTTGCCGAAACCAGTCGAGAGAAGAGCAAAAACATCTTTTCCTCTGAGAAATGCCTCCAGAGCAGTGTTTTGCTCTTCTTTCAGTGAAGAAATACTCTGTAATTCCAATAAAACTTGCTTGATAGCCACGCTAACGCTAGTTTTATCGGCTGAAGCCGCCATGTTCTTTAGACTGAACTGTCGCGCTTCTCGTTGCGTCACACCTCAACCCGCCTCAAAGCCAACGCTGATTGGACGTTCGTTTGGTGAACGGCTCCAAATTTTCTTTAACGGAGAGTCCCCAGACTGATTAGCGAGTGAAATCTTGAAAGCTCGCGAGATCAGGAAGGTCTCACGAGGCTAGACGTCATCGGTCGTACTTACAAATTATTCTATCTTAAAAAGCACATCAGCACAAACAATAGTTTTGCTGCACAAACGAAGTAGCACTGAAAAAATAGGCCAGATAAATTTGATTCAATTCGGAGCTTAATGGGGGGGATAGTTGACCTCTGGGTGACCTAAATATAATCTTTGATATCTCTGAAACACCAGCTGTACATATACACTGTAGTCTTTATTTATTTTCATTTTTACAAATGATCATTACACACAAACCAGAAATGCACAAATTTGATTATGCATCCAAGATGTAAACACTGTGCATCTGAAATGCGGAGGGGTGAACTACCGCCTCAGGTCTGAATGCACTATTAGAAATGAGAAGAAAATTCTGTTAGTCTTGGTTTATACGTTTGTGGTGCTAGTACACATGTTTTCATTACTTCAGTATACTAGCAGTTAGTGAAAAATATTTCCTGCAGGCTTAAATAAAAACCACTTTCAGCCAAAATCCACCTGCAGGAAGTAGGGACAGCAGAAAAGTGACAGAAACTCAAAACAGTAATATGAGGTGACTGAGCTAAAGCCTGTTGCAGCAATTCCCCCTTTTCTGTTCAGGTTTCACACAAAGCCGTCAGCTCTCAAAGGTCAACCTGCTCTAGACTGTATTACTAAAAAGAAAAAACCCTGGAATAACAATCACTCTGGGTGAAGTTGATTCTCTTAGTCAGCTGTCAATTGATTCTCCTACAAAATACCTCAACACAGAAGCACCAGAGGTAATTTAATAAACCTTTTGACAAACTGTCTCTCCTTCCAGGATCAATACATAAATAAATACTACATTAGTAAATGGTGCACCGTGCTGTTACAGACAAGATATAATTATTTGGTCAATGTAAAATATTTCTGGCTATTTCCTGATTTGATTTCTGCCTCTCAGATGTGTGTGTCGTGTCGGAGAGCAATCACACAATGAAGTCCTCTTAACAGTAATAGAGCAGCTAGAGAGGCAAGTCTAGCAATGCCAACATGGTTCACCAGCTCGCTGAGAGGCAGGCAGCACCTGACAGATGCCACTTTATGGGCATGCTTCCAGAGGGCTCCAAAGAGCCGCTACATGATGGGAAGCCAAGGGAGCAGGAGGAGAATAGAAAACTGAACCAGAGCTTACTATCATGCTGTCCATCATCTAAATGTTTCACTTAAATGTTTTTGGAAAAAAAGAGTGTTAAACCTGTTAAAAAAAAAAAAAAAAAAAAGCATTTTTAGTGGGGATTGGTGGCCTAGTGGTTAGGGCATAGAACTTGGAATCCTGAGGTTCTGACTTCGAGCCCCACTCCCATGGACTTCCACTCTGGGTCTCTGAGAAACCTCCTATACCCCACGCCGCTCCCCGGGCGCTCTACATTGGCAGCCCACTGCTCCCCAAGGGGATGGGTTAAATGCAGCGGTTAATTTCTCCAATGTAGGATCAATAAAGTTCAATTATTATTATTAAATGACACAATGCAGCACTGGATCTTCTGCAGACATACCTACATTTTATTGATTGCTAAGTTTAATTTCCCTGACCAACCAGGCCTGATCACTTCCATAACTGTGCAATCAAGAAATTACTTAGATAGGACCTTGATGATGGTATGAAATTTGCTGGAAAAAAAGTCCAGCCACAAGTTGCTGTTTATGTTGATTAACCTATTTCGGGTTAGGGACATTTTTAAAGCCTTTGGGACTCTAGCAAAACCAACAGAGAAAACGTTGTTGCAAAGAATAATAAAAAATAAAAAAAATTACCCAGAACAAATACCTTCATGATTCCTTCCTTGTGAATGGGCAAATCCCAAGACTCTGGGAAAACAGCCTGTGGACTGTTGTGGAAGTTGTGCTTCTGGTACCCAAAATACTAACATTTGTGAGAGAAAACTATCAAACATTGTGGATGTAGTTTATGGTTCCTTTGCTGCTTTAGGAACTAGGAGACTGAGTATAATTGATTGAAACAATACACAATAATCTCTAGTGCAAAATAAAAGATACAGAAAATCTGACAATTTTAGTTGGTGAGGTTAATCTTAAGTTTTTCTGGGGTTATGCATAGTACAATAATGCAAAACACACTGTTAAACCCACACCTGAATGGATAATAAAGGAGGTTTGGGAAGGCCTAATCAAAGGCTGGATTTATATATGATTAGGAATTTAGGAGCAAGTCTATTCATGCTCAAAACGGTAATGTGGCTTAATTAAAATAACAAGTGATGAAAATCTCAACAGCAATGTTAAAGGCTCAGGCAGTTTTCAAATCAAATGTTTGGGGTGCAATTAGTTTTTCCCCCCATAGGGGCAAGTTATTTAGGATATCTTTTTTCCAATATATCATCATTTAAACTTATTCTTAGTTTTATGCATTTATTCAGTTCATCTTTGTCTGGAAATAATTTTTTGCATCATGTCAAATATCTGGGTGGGACCAAAAATAAAAGAAATAAAAATAGGCAACAGTACTGTTTTACGTTGGCATTCTTAATTTTTTATTTTTTTTGAATGGGTTCAAGAAATTCAAGTTTAATCATTTAAAATCAAGGTTTATGTTGCCTAGTTCAAAAGAAGAATCAAAGGCATTCATTATGCAGATAAATCTATTTTAAAGAAAATCTATTGAGTTACAGATATTTTTACAAAGCATTTTATCAAATGTATGATAATTTTTCTTCATAATTTACAATCATTTTCCACCCATATAAAACTTGCTTGTATGATAAAAATGAAGCTGTTGAGGTAAACTACAACTCAATAAATAAAAGAGATTAAAACCAGCTGATATTTTAAAAAGTGGTATTTTTCAGATGATGATAGACTAAATGATCTCTCTGAGCGCAGGATCCTGGGCCTTCTGCTGCAGGCCTTCCTGGTTCGGCTCAGTAAGCACCATTCTGCCTCATTAATTGATTCAAATGTGGCCATTAAAAAAGCTGCGACATGTCGAACATTTATTATAGGATTACTGTAGGCAACCCCCCCCCCGTCTTTTTTTAGCACCGCTGAAACAAACAAAAGATGTGCTGTGAATGGCACGTGCTTCAAGCGTCAGTCACCTGTTTCCTAGCAACGGGCACAACAGAAAAAGCACCTGTGGCTCTGAATAGACGCTATGTAACCCTAATTTAGACAAAAATGGTTGGTGAACTGCAGAAATATAGTTACATTTATTAACATAAACTGAGTATTCAACAAATCACGTTAAAAAGATTTTGTTTTGTTTTTTCAATAAGCTTTAAATAAAAAAAATTAATGTTGTAATAAATTCCACATAAAAAAAGAATAAACTCATAAGCCACGTCTGTTACAAGACACTCTAGAGAGAATGGTGTATTTAAAAAAAATCAAAATTAAATATGTTCATCCTCAGTTTTCGCTTTAAAACGAGTAAATTTGGATAATTGCCACCAATGTGCGGGTGTACTCAAATGCGTAAAACGAAAAATAAAGCGCCAATTTCAAAGCATCGTTTTGTCTGATCCATGTTAATAATTCACCTATATTTATTTTTATTTCTCAAGCTTCTTTGCAGTAATAAACATCCTTTGAACTTCATGTAAAATAGTTTTTCTTATAATTTCCAAGATGAAATATCGCAAAACGTGGACGCGTTCAGAGAGATCGCGCTTCATTTTTGGACTCCAAACTCGCTCTTCTGTCGTCTCTCTTCTTTTTTCTAGCTGCACGCTCAAAAGCGATGACAGAGGGAGTAATTTTTTTAGGTCTCGCGCTCCGACGTCACTAGAACCTCGAGCCCCCGCATGCAAATCACGTCCTCGCTCGCGCCTCTCCATTGGCCGCCTCGCGCTCATTTAGCTGCTGTCAGAGCGCGCGGTCCCGGCAAGTTCCAGTAACTTTTCCCTGTAAAGGCGCAGCTTCAGCCAAAGTCCGGTCAAATAAATCCTTCCATTCCCCCTCAGCGCCCGCGGATGACAGGGAGGAGGAAGAGGAGGACTCTGCACTTTTAACGGAGTGGATTTTTCAGACTCTCCTTCCCTCGGTTCCCTTGGTTCTTTGGAGGCTGAATGTTTCTGCTTGTTTGACTCTGTCCCACAAAGACGAGGTGAATGTACAGCATCATGATGGAGACGGACTTGCATTCCCCCGTGGTGCCCCAGACAAACCCATCCAACCCGGGGGGACATGCGGGAGGGGGAGGCGCAGGAAAGGTCCCCCAGGAGAGGATCAAGAGACCCATGAATGCCTTCATGGTGTGGTCCAGGGGCCAGAGGAGGAAAATGGCACAGGAAAACCCTAAGATGCACAACTCTGAGATCAGCAAGCGGCTGGGAGCGGAGTGGAAGGTGATGACCGAGGCGGAGAAGAGACCTTTTATTGATGAGGCCAAGCGGCTCCGGGCCATGCACATGAAGGAACACCCGGACTACAAGTACCGCCCGCGGAGGAAGACCAAGACGCTACTCAAGAAGGACAAGTACTCGCTTGCCGGCGGACTCCTCGGGTCATCGGGTGTGGGGATGGGCGGTGGGCAGCGACTGGAGAGCCCCGGCGCGGGCCACGTGGGGGCCGGTGCGGGCTACGCGTCGCATGTGAACGGATGGGCGAACGGGACATACTCGGGTCAGGTGGCGGCAGCGGCGGCGGCGGCTCACGCCATGATGCAGGAGGCGCAGCTGGCTTACACCCAGCACCCGGGGAGCGGAGCTCACCCGCACCACCCGCATCACCACCACCCGCATCACCACCCGCACAACCCGCAGCCCGTGCACAGGTATGACATGAGCGCTTTGTCTTACAGTCCCATCTCAAACTCTCAGAGCTACATGAGCGCCTCTCCGCCGGGATACGGCGGCATCACCGGCTACACTCACCAGCACCAGAGCTCCGGGGTCTCCCCTGTGTCCGGGGCCATCGGTGGGACTCTGGGCTCTCTCGTGAAATCGGAGCCGAGCGTCAGCCCGCCGGTTTCCACGGCGCGCGCCCCGCCGCCATGCCCGACTGGAGACCTGCGGGACATGATCAGCATGTACCTGCCCACCGGTGAGGCGGCGGGCGGCGACTCCGTGCAAAGCAGACTGCATGTGCTTCACCCGCAGCACTACCAGAGCGGGGGCCCCGCGCCGGTCAACGGGACGGTCCCCCTCACGCACATTTAAAACGTCCACGCGAACTGTGCGCACATCAGACACAACCAAATATTTCCACCCTACAAGCGGGCTTCAGCTGCTCATGGACTGTAAATTATAAGCGGCTCCAGCCAGGAAAATGCAATCACTTAAAAAAAAAAAAAAACTTTTTTATTATTATTATTTTATTATTATTATTATTATCATTATTTTAAATCTACAACTGATCTTTTTTTTATCTGTCCTGGTTTAAAGAAAGCGCCTCAGATTCCCTGTCGCTCTCTGGAGAAGATGCCAACCTTTGACACGATTTAAATTATAATCCCTACATGCTGGCGCAATTTACACCTAATTTTATTCTCCGACATTTCAGGATGTTTTAATGAGGGAAGCGTTTGATAAATGCAGAGCGGTGTGGAGGAAGAAGGGGTGAAAAAAAGTTTCAGGCTGCAGTTTAAAATGATTTCCACTTTTGATGCTTGTAAACATGTGAATCAGTGTAATTTGAATTTGTCCCTGTTGTTGTAAAATCTTGTAAATTGTGAATAAATAGGCCTAGTGAAAGCGCTTTTATGCAACTGTACACACAATTTACAGAAAAATGCTGATCTACATTTTGCAGCTGAAGACGGAGCAGCGCTGAGTTTAATAAATTGTCCAAGAGTTTGTTTGTCTCTTGGAGAAACGCTACATTTTGTGTTATTATTTTTTGATTCACGTTAAAGAAAAAAAAAATGAAACCTTAAATGTAAAGTGATGTTTGCGTTCCTGTTATATATTAAATATTTTAAACGTGATACCAATTTATCTGAAGCCGGATCTATTCCAATTAAAATCAATAAATATATATTTGCGCGGCAGGGGTAAAAATAATTAAGGTTTTAAAAGCAGTATTTTTAAATAAAGTAAAACATTTGATAATTTGGTTAAATGTTTATAAGGCTCATGCTTTTAATAACCATTTAATAATTCAGAAAAAAAATAACTAAAGGTTTTAATAAGGCCTATAGAAATACTGTGTCTGTATTATATTTCCTGTCTCCAGTTTCAAATGTATTTTGTAGCATAATAACTTATTTAAAGCAACATTCCAGAAGATGAATACATGTGATTCAGTTTTTTATGGAAGGTTTAGAAAACCCTACAAATAACTACTTATTTTGCAAAGAAAGCGCACCAATACAATGCATTTATTTTGCTTTTTTATTTCAGCCAAAATGCTTTTTATATACGGATACCCTTTTTTAGAATCAATTTAATTTGAGAGAAAAATTTCTGATCAGATTAAATCTTGTATTATTAATATTTTTCATTTACTCCAACAATGACCAGATGTACTCATCATATGCATCATTGTAAGGATGCTTGAACTCACTTGTTAAAATGGTCCTTTAGGCAAAGCAGAGCATGTTTTCTCCTTTGCTACCTACCTGCAGGACAGTGACCTCTGCAATCCACACCTCAAGAAAAACCCAATCTGACACCAGCATCTGGCGATTGCTGCACATTTTTTTCCCCCAGGTGTTCTAAAGTTTGTTTCGCCTCAAACTTCTTTCCACCTGAGTTCCTTAAATTTCCCAACCTGCTCACCTCCAAATTCTAGCGTTTGCAACTGTGTGTCTAATTGCCACGGCTGTTAAATGATTTCCTTCTTTAAAATTGATGGCTGAATCAGCGGAGGCCCCCGGGGGCAAAGAGAGGGGCATGAATGAAGGGAGAAGGCAAAGGGAGGAGGGGTTTTTTGTGTTCAGGGTGAATGGGGATTAGTCGTGGTGTAAGCCGGGGCAACCGCAGGGTCACAGCTGACAAAAAGCACAGCAAGCAACACCTCTGGTTCTATCAGCGTAATTCCCACTCTGATCTGAACCTGAAAACAAGAGGGCAGGGAAACTGAAAATCCAGTAAAGATGTGTGCAGGGATTTCCTCTAAAGTAGAACTGAAGATATTTCATTAATTCTTTAAACTATTGAAGGCTAATGTTGGATATTCACACTGTGTGGGTCCATAAAAGACAGCAGGAGGCTTGCTAAAAGTGGGATAATCCATCTTCATGCATCAGGAGCAGTCACCTCTAATAATGAGAGAAGTATGGCTAAAAATAACAGTGATTTTTCCTTGCAATCCCAACGATCTGTCTCACTAACTTCAGCTCAATTTTATATTTTACACACAGGTGCATCTAAAAAGAAAAAAAAAAATTTTTAATCATTCACTGATTTAATTTAACGACATGAACATATTGTTCATGCGTTCGCTGATTCATTAGTGCATTCAGTAGCCATGCTCTGAGATCCTGTAAGCATGCATGGCTGCTCCCTGCATTTGCTATCCACTGTCAATGTTTTCTTTGATTTGTTAATAAATGGTTTGTTTGGATGTAATTGAGACTTGTGGAACTTTTGTTTTCTTTTTTTTTTTTAGTTCCATCTTTTAAATGGAAGAGAAAGCAACCTTGCTCTTAAAAACAACATTGGGGATCGGTTAGTATGATGTCAAAACAGCCGGTCAGCCTTCAAAAACCTGCATTAGTCGATTTCTGCTTTGGACCTGATAAAAAACACCCGAAAAACACAAAATTAAGCCCGAAATGACCTTTGACTGTATAGACATTTTTACTGGACTTCATGCAGCTTGGTTTCTGTACCTCTCCTATTTTCTCCTGACTTGGAGATCTTCATTTCTAAATGCAAACTGTAGGTTTATATATATATATATATATATATATATATATATATATATATATATATATATATATATATATATATATATAAGAGGACATTGAAACACTCAGCAACTGCCAGTCATTTTTCTCCCTCGTCCAGTTTAGATGGCCAGTGATCAGTCTAGTTATGTCTGGGTGTGGATTTGTACACATTACCATATTCTTTCTTCCACCAAACTTTCCATTAATATGGCTGGACACAGGAAAGAGCAGCCGCTTTCTTTAGCAAAAATCTTTTGTGACTTAAAGTCTTTGTAAAAAGTGTAAATGCTAGAAAACTAAATGTAAAAAGTGTAAATGCTAGAAAACTAAATTTCTGTGCATAAAATATATTTTAAATTCCTAAAACAGGAAATTTGGATTGAAATGGACTGAAATAAATGCTTAATAAAATGAATTTACATCATACTTGAGCTTTACTCTTAATTGAAAAAGCGAAAAAAAAAAAAAAGATTTATGGCACAATGATTTAGATGCACCTATATCCAGAAAAATTTCCAAAACAAAAGTAACCTCAGAGCAGTTTATGTGAATAAAGCAAAATATGGTCCTTCCTGGTATTAAAAGCCTTCAAGACCAGAAAAGTCAAAGATAAACGTTTGCAGTGTTACTCCTAACATGGTTTATAAAAAGGATATAAGCTCAGACTGTCTCAGAATAGTGGATGCTAGACAACTGGTACAAAATAAAACAATAAGGGGAAACCATTCCAGCATTGAAATTATTATTTTTTTCTTTCTACTTAAAAAAAAAAAATTCTGCCGAGCTGAATATTCTTCGCACTGCTTTTCATTTGAATCCCTGGCTATATAATAGCACATATAGAACAATTATAGAAAGTGTTTATAATTTAGTACCATTTGATTTCAATTTCAATCCTCAATCCGATCAATTTCAATCCTTAATTAATAACTTTTTTCCAAATATCTGATAGGATTAAAGAGTCATCTGTCATAGAATGGAGCCTTGCTACAGTATATTCAGTTTGGGCTTTCTTTAGCATTTTATGTTTCCCTCAATCAGAATGAATTATTTATTTATTTCTCATCTGCTGCAAATTTTACCCAAACATTTAAACACTTAAAGAAAAAAAAAACTCTAAATTACAAACAGGATTTAATTCTTACGTTAGATATTCCACAGCAAACATTCTTCACTAATCTGTATTAGTTTCTCTCTCTATGAAATTTCAAAATGAAATATTAAATATTTGATATATAATTTAAAGTGTAAAATAAAGCTTGTTCAATGAGCATTAATGAGGTTTGCTTTTATGGTGCAGAGACAGTACCTCATACCTAAAGTAAGTGCTTCATCTCATTCTGAAGTTGAAAACGGGAATTTTCAGAGTCAATATATTTTTTACATTCTTTTTTTGACTCGACTATCCTTAGAAATATTCAACAATTTCACAAGATACACTATTTTTCCAAAGAGGAAGAAAAATATTTTCAGTTGGCCATTAAATGACCGCTACAGAAAATGAACATGGTGCTGATTGGACTGCTTGATTACACGTATTTTATTCTGATTATTAAAATATTATCTTGTCTCAAGGAAAGTAAGTTACAATAAGACATTATCTCCATAAAACCCCTGTGAAGTTGCCACGCATTTGAACCTTTTTACATATTGTAACATTACAAAAAAACCTCTCACATATTTCAAACTCAAAGTTGTGCATAACCATAAAGTGGAAGGAGAAAAACTCTGCTCTTTTAAACATTTTTAAGTATAAAATTTGAGGTGTCCAGTTGTATTCAGTCCAACGGATCCAGTGGATTTCCAATTGATTCATAGTTTATCGATTCTATTTTACAGGTCCAGCTGAAGGTCTGCTTGGGCAGGCCTGTTCCAGATGTGAACATCAGGAGTGTGACACTCCTCCCCTCAGTGTGGCTCAGGTTCGGTCAGATTTGACCATCTAAATGCAAGTTTCCAGATTAGATCTGGACTAAAACAAATGATAGATCTAGTTGTACCTATAGGGTCCTTGTCCTGCTGGGGAACCTTGACCTAGTCTCTAATCAGGGTCATGTATTTAGCTACATCCATCTAACAAACACGGCTAAAGAAAGCATATTGCTGCTCCAATCATACTTCTTATTAGTGATTGAGCATTCAGGGTGACAGTTTTCCACCACAAAAAGCTGTCTAAATGTTGGCTAACTAAATGTGGCAGACTCTATACTGGATTTCTTTTGACTTTCCTTTGATCAATATCTTTTTGTAAGACCAGATGTAGACTCTGGATCTTTGCAATTCCTCCCTAGTTACCATTGGCCTCCTTAAAACTTTTCCAGAACCTCTCTGCTTTGCTCCCTGCTCTTCTTGATTACATTTGTTCACTAATGTCCTGAAAAAAACCTCTGAGGACTTCAGAAAACATGGATTAATTCAGACATTACATCTCAGACAGTTAAAGTTTCACATGTTTAAAGTTTAAAGGTTTAATATGGGGGTATGAGCGTAAAGGGGCTGAATACAACTAAACAACACAGTTCATAATTTTGTTTTCTTCTACTTTGTTTTGCATAAAAAAAATATCAAAATACATGAAAGTTTGTGATCATAACAGTAGAAAATGTGTTAAAGGTAAGAAGGTTCTGAGTAAGTTTGCAGGATACTCTATGACGCTGTTATTATTCTGTCTTAATTTGACGATTACATGATCACATTTGGCCTCACTGAAACTCAGCTGAGATGAAACATGCCCATGTTTTAGTAGAAGTCCTAATCTGTTCTCTGTGAGGAATATTCCAGCTGCTTCCAGCATAAGTGATGCTGAACCCAACACAGCCAGGGTTCTATACTCTCCTCATGTTCTGCTTGGCACATGTTTGGACACCGCCGCTCTGGCACTTCTCTCTCCATAACCCTGCACACCCCCCACGCCACCAGCCCGTGTGCTCCTGATGTCCTGAACGTGGATAATCGGCGTCAGTTTATCACGCCTCCGCATACTTCCCTGCCTCTTCTCCTATAAAAATCCTCACCTCTGTCGTTGGACCCGGTCCTGTCAGGGGAGATTACGGGGGACCGATTGCACAAGACTGAATGTGGCGAGAGGAGATTAGCCAGGGCGCCATAGAAAATAGTAACGGGGCCAACAGATTCCTCGTGAGGGGGCCTTATCATGCAATTACACGTTGACACGTTTTAACCATTTTTCAGCCTCTTAATCCGAGAGTCCCCCTCCTCCCCTCTCCTCCCCCTTCCCTTTCTAAAAGCAGACCTATTGGTGCTGAGGGAGCTTCGCTGCTCTCCATCAGCCTCTAGCTGCTGGCTAAAAGTCTGCCTCATTTTCTCTGCTGAGCTATCAGACTTTGCTCATATCTAAAACCATCTAGAGAGAGAAGAATCAGACATTTTAATACAGTTAATAAAGCTAAACGAGACATAAAATGATGTCTCTGATTAGTGTTATGATGTTAGGAATATAACTAAAGAAAAGCTACATCAACTTAACCATCAAATTCATTTCAATCAGGATTGCTTGCATTTCTGTTGTCAGTGTAAAAGTCTTGCCACAAATAAGTCACTGAATTTCTATCTGGACTTTGACTTTGTCATTTTAACTATACCAACAACTACTGACCATTACATCTTTGGTAGATCCAAGAGTTTTTTTAGGTTTCCATCTTCCAATGAACTTTGATCAGCCTCCAAGTCCCTGTGGAAAGGACTCCCCACAGTATGATGCTGCCACCGTGTTTTAATGGAACAGATGGTGTGTTCAGGATGTTAATTGTTCCATCCCACATTGTTTCATTTAAGCCAAAACATAATTTTTTATCTAATTAATTGAAAAAACAACAAATTCTTTCACATAATATAATAGTGACAGGCTATTTTAAAAGTATCTGAATTGAAAAAAAAAATGGTACAAGCAATAACCCAACATTTTGTTTGTAAAAATGCTAAAAACTAGGAGCTACATTCCTTCCTCTTCATAGTTATGCACTACTCTCTGTTGCTCATTTTTTGGTTCCAACAAATTAAATCATAAAATACAGAAATGTTTTTAGAAATGTGCAGGAGTTAAAGGGTCATTGCACTTTAAGACCTTAAAGTTTGCTGTTTAGCTTCAAGTAAAATAAACGTTTAGAAACTACTACAGGTTTTCTTACCTTCAGATATATTGCAATAATCAGACTAATTTTGGTATTCTTTGAGCAATCACATTTGGTGCTTTCATAAATTTTCCTCCTCCTGATCTAAAAGAAAATAAAGGACATGCTTTTATATACAGCAGCATCATTTCAGTTTTATATATAGAGACACACTGTTCCTCTGTTTTAAGGTTTGTGTCTTATCTTTCATATTATTATATTACTACAAAATTGAAAAATATATGTATATACATGTATATTAACATATATCCTTCAGGAGTATAAATATATAACTAATATGCAGAAATTTTAATATCCAGAATATGAATTTTCTAATGAGACTCTAAAGTACACATCATGGATTTAAAGTTAGGGTTAACATACATTTTTGTTTTTTCCAATCGGGATTAAAAGTCAATTATTCAAAGATATTCAATTGCATCAAAGTAGATGCAAACTAATTTTCTTCCATCAGAGCTGCAATGATAAACATGCACCTGGCTTGTCCCCCTTCCCCCCAGCAGCTCCTGATAGAATAAAGACCGCC